GTGTGGCGGTGGCCCCCCTGCCGATGGCTGTCACCCTGCCGATGGCTGTCACCCTGCCGGGAGTGGGCAGGAGGTCCCAGGGCATTGTTCCCTCCGGGGCAGGCAGGGCCAGGCAGAGCTGGCCTGGGGGATGCCTGTCTGGCGCCTCACCCCAAGAGTTCTGATCGGGAAGGTCCTGCCTCGCCAACGTGCCTCAGCTTCCCTTCGGGGAAGGGCAGGGTGAGTGCAGCTGGCCCTGGCTGCTGAGCCCGGTGGTATGGGGCTGTGTTGCCAGAAATCGAAGATATTTAATGGAAAAAATGAAGGGATGTGCCGAGTCCTTCTCCCACCCTGCTCCCAGCTCTGGGCAGGAGTTGCCAGTGCTGACCACAAGCGCCAGCCTCACCAGGCCGGGTGCTGTGTCAGGCACAGGCTGGGTCAGCAGTGCCAGGGAGGCCCGGCCATGCCAAATTCTCGCCTTGGGGCTGAGCAGATCCTCTTCCCCAGCGCATGCAGCACAGAAACCATGGCATGGCATGATGGTGGCAGTAAATACGGGGTCTGTATGGCCTCTGGGGGCTGCGTGCCCTGAGCAGTGTCTTCAGTGATGTCTGTGGGAGTATGTGCCCATCGCCTGGGCTGCTTTTGTGCTGGTGGCACAGGTATAAGCAGAGGGCTTTTGCCCCCTGCCACTGCCTTTCCAGTGGCATGACAGACTCTGATTTTGCCGGTTAATTTTAGCATAATCTCCATTAAAAAGAAATACATTTTTTTAAACTCCTAGCAGCACTGCCACTGCCTGCTTGGGGCCTCCGGTCGGGCCAGCAGCAGGGGACCTCCCCGGTGGGGTGGCAGAGGACACAGGAACGGGCTGGGCTCAGGGGGATCCCCTGGGATTTGCACCCAGAGGCCAGGACCACGCTGGTCCCAGGCTGAAGGGGGCTCATCCTGCTGGGGGTCCTGGAGCAAGGTGGGCCAGGCACTCAGCTATCTCAGTGGCACTCCCTGCCCAGGGAGGGCACAAGGGACATGCGCTGTCCCTTTCAGCTTCCCCTTTCAGCTTCCCCTTTCTTGCAGCTCAGGGGAACTTTGCACCTTCCCCGCTCCCAGCCTGGGGAGGGAGGGCTGGGCCAGGAGCTGCGTGTCCCCTGCATGGAGGTGGCATCCCCAAGGGGGACAGGATGGTGGAGGGAGGGCCTTTGGCGCCCTGGCTGTCTCCTCTGAACCCCTGGCATCCTGTATTTGGATGCTGAAATATAACCCCCCCCCGAAGGCCATTGGCGTTCCTTGCTGATAGCTGCCTCTGCAGCTGGGCTGGGGTGCAGGACCCGGCAGGCTGGGAAGTGCACGCTATTTAAAAAGCAACCCAGGGACAGCCGATCCAGCGAGAGCTGCTTGAGCGGGCTGGCAGGGGGGGCAGCTTCCTTCCGAGCTCCCTGGGGTGCTTGACTTCGGGTGCCAGCCCTCCTGCCCGTACCTGCTGGCACGAGCATCTCCGCATCCCGGCCACCGCCGGCTCCAGCTGTTGCTGTGGGCCCATGGCGGGGCCGATGCTCTGTCGTGCCCCGATACATGATGTGGGATATGGGATGCAGCGGCTAAGCTCAGGCACTGCCTGGAGCTGGAATGGAGGGTGATAGGCAGGCCTTAGCCCCCCTCCCCATTGCAGGGGCCTCCCCAATCCCAAGTTTGGCTGAAGCTGGAGCTGCCAGTCATCTTGGCCATGGTTCACCAGGATAGCAGGGCAAATATGAGTGCACTGATGCCATTTTCCTGGCCCAGAGCAGGTGTCATTTCTCCCCTTGGGAGCTATTGCAAGGTCCTCCCCAGGCTTGGCTTTTCCACCCACTTTCTTGGCCCTGGTATTCCCGGTGCCCATCCAAGCATCTGCTCTGGCTGGGAGCTCTTTTCTGATGGCTCTGGCACCTGCTGGGGGGGTCCCAGTAGGGTGGGGGTCCCCTGCTTCAGGCAGCACCTCACTGCTTGTCCTCTCTTCTTGTTTCTCCACAGGTGCTGGCGAATCTGGGAAGAGCACCATTGTCAAACAGATGAAGTGAGTGGTCCCTGCACCGTCACTGCAGACAACACCACCCAACTGGTGGTAGCTGAGGAAAGCTCCCCATCAGTGTTGCTGCAGAGCATGGGTGGGGGGCAGCACCCTGGGGTGCCCCTCAAAGGACTGACCATGCCTGTGTCTCTTCCCTGCCCCAGGATCATCCACGAGGATGGCTACTCGGAGGAGGAGTGCCGGCAGTACAAAGCTGTGGTCTACAGCAACACCATCCAGTCCATCATGGCCATCATCAAGGCAATGGGGAACCTGCAGATCGACTTTGGAGACTCCTCCAGAGCAGTGAGTCCCTTCCTGCTCCTGCTGTGCTGGGGGATTTTAGGGGGACAAAAGCAGATGTACCCAAAGGTGGACCAGGATTAAGGGTGGCCTTGCCCAAGCCTCTCTGCTCCTCGGCCAGCTGTGACCTCCTGTTTCTGGCACTGAGGGTGGGAGGACCCAAAGCATAACTTGTGGGTGGCCTGCCCCAGCACAGCCCCTGATGGGTGCAGAGGTGGAGATCCCACTGCTTCCCTTGGATCTTGTCCCCATCCACTGCTGGAGCTCCTGCTCTGCTGTCTGGGTGGGTCATGGTGGGCTCTGGTCAGGTCCTTTAGGGCAGAGTGAGCTTCAGTAACCCCGTGGTGTTGTTCAAGCCCTGTTTTTTCCCCGCAGGATGACGCTCGGCAGCTGTTTGCGCTCTCCTGCACCGCTGAGGAGCAGGGCATCATGCCAGAGGACCTGGCTAATGTGATCCGGAGGCTGTGGGCTGACAATGGGGTCCAGGCTTGTTTTAACCGCTCCCGAGAGTACCAGCTGAATGACTCTGCTGCCTAGTGAGTACCCCCGCTCCTCTCCTCCAGCGCGGCTGGATCCAAGCTGTGCGGGACGTGTTGGGACGCATCGCTTTTATTGCGCAACAGAAAATCTCCCCGGGGGCTGCTGTTCCCCATCACCAGGTCTGGGGGTTGGTTCTGCCACTTCCCACCCGGTGCTGGGGCTAAGCCAGAGCAGAACTGGGAAGGCGGGTGTTTCGAAAGCTGTTTCCTCCTGTGGCAGGGTGCTGTGTCCCCCAGGAGGGAGGCCCTGCGGCATCCCCCTCCTGCCACTGCTCCATGCCTGCTGCCCTTCTCCAGAGTTGCTCTCCCCTGACCTCTGCATCCTGAGCTGGTTCCCCTGGTGTGAGCTGGTGTGTACTAGCTGTGCCCGTGGACATGGGCTGTGAAGGCAGAGAAAAGCCGCAAAGACAGACCCAGGAACCCTTATACCCAAGTAGGATGAACAGGATGCACAATGTTTTCTTTCTCCTTTTAACTGAGTTTATATGGAAGAACTTGGCATTGCACTCACGTATTAGCCAGCAAACTGGTGTTTAGGTAGATAAATTGCCTGCATCTGGTTGGGTTTATCCCTGAAGAGATTTAATAAATAAGTTAATCTGCCTAAAGTACGATTGCCGGAGAGGGCAATGCGGCTGAGGCTGTGCTCAGCTCGCACAGTGCCCGCCTGCCCTCCCTGCTCGAACCCTCACAGTGAGCAGTGTCAAGGAGAGCTTGTGGTGAGCTGCGAAACCCCTGCCAAGGCTGACCCTTGGGACGTGCCACCATCCTGGGGGCTGCTTGGTTCCTCTGTATGCCAGCCCAGCCGTACCCTCCCGCTTGGGGCTGTCAGGTCCCATTTTGCACTGGGGTCACTGCGGGGAAGAGGTTGCAGGGAAGCTCCTGGCAAGTGCCGACCCCAGAGAAACTCCTGCTGATGCTTTCCTCCGGTGCCCGCAGCTTTCGCTTCCTCCTGCCCGGCACCTGCCCTCCCTGGCCCTGTCCTGCTCGGTCCCATCATCCCCCAGCCAGTGCCAGCATTTCCCGGGCAGTGCTGCGCTGCGCCGTGCGTGCAGGTTTGGAAGCATGGGGGACGCAGCAGGTGCCTGGAAGCAGGCATGCACGCTTCCAGCAAATGCATCTGCAAAGTGTCTGCAGATCAGGTACGGCTGTAAGCGCATTTATGGAGCGTTTGGCACATTGCGGGGCTTGGACAAGTATTAATCAGGAGCCCCCTTGAGCTGTTACTCCAGCCTTTCTCCAGCCCCCCAGAGGTGCCAGTGCAGCCGCTGATGTCCCGTGCATCCCCACAGGGATGGTGCTGTGCCTGCAGTGCTGCCAGCAGAAGGTGCACTGGGGATGAGCAGCCCTGTGCCATGCTCGGCATGCAGCCCACTCCTACCCCAGCCCTCTGCAGCAGCCCCCAGCCACCGCAGCTGCTGGGCTGCCAGGATGGGCTCTCACTGGCACCCCAGGGCTGGACGCGAGGTCCGAGTGCCGCCGGCGCTGTGCATGGCCCTGCTGTGGTGTTTCCTGTTTTTTGTCAGCTGGAGGCCGCCTGTGTTTCCGGCTGTTTTCGAGCTGTTCCTTGGCTGCATGCTGGTCCCCCAGGCCTTGTGCCCATGACGGGGTCCTGGGCCATCCTCGGCTCTGGCTTTGCCCTGGCACCCTAGAGGCTTTCCTGTGCTGCGCTACCATCGGAGACTAGGATTCCTGTGGCCTCCTGAGCTGTAATCTGGCTTTCACCAGATTACAGGGCTGCAAAGGCCTTAATTAGCGCAAGCCTAATTTGCTTAAAGGAGCCTTGTTTGTGGTAACCCAATTAAAGGAACGTGAGCTGGAGAAATCGAAACCTGCCCTGATCCCCCCAGCATCACTCGGCCGGTCCCGATGGCTGCTGCGGCTTTGGGACCGAGGCATCGCCGCTGCTGGCAGTCAGTGTTTGGCAGGGCCAGGGCAGGCAGTGCCATCCCTGGGGGGCTCGGGGTGCTCCCCTGCGCTCCTCCCCATCCCTCCAGCCGCCCGCCTCCTGCTTCCTCCCAGGACGCCGGCCCTTTGTGTTTTTTGACTATAAATGGCACGGCGCCATTGATTGTTTCCGCCGGCGCTGCGGCTGGTTGCCATAGCAGTGAATACTTTCCTCCTGCTGTTTTCCCCATGCAACCAGCCGGCCGAGCAGCGACAGCCCCCTAACCCCGGTTACACTGCATGCTGCCCCCAAGCCCCCGTTCCCGTGCGTCCCGTGGCTGCCCCGGCCGCTGCCCTGCCCTGCCCGGGTCTGACCCCGGGGTGCGGATGGGGTCTGCCTTGCTCCCGGCTCGGTGCTGCCCACCCCGACTGGATGATGCCTGGGGATCCTGGGGCAGTGTGAAGATGTCCCATGGGATTTGGGTGGGTTGTGCCCCATGGTCCAGCTTCTCCAGCACCTTTGTGCTCCCTCCCCAGCTACCTGAACGACCTGGAGAGGATAGCTCGTACCGACTACATCCCCACCCAGCAGGATGTGCTCCGCACC